ATGTTTTTTATGGGAATGGGGAGATAACGGGACGAAAAGCAGCAATTTTTCCTCCCCTCTGCCCATTCTCCCCGCACCGCTCCGCGGCAGCGGGGCTTTGCGCGGGGCTGCGGGCGCTTCTCGGGCAGCCTTGGGGCGGGGGCTCTACAACGGCTGGTTTCGGTGAGACGCTTGCACAGTGCGGTGGTGTAAGCAAATGAAAGTAAAAGTTCGCTTTTGGGTTTCTGTTTGGATTTTTTTGGTTGTTTTGGGGGTGGGGTGGTGTTGTGTTTGGGATTTTGGGGTTTTTTTTACAATAGAGCTAGATAAAAGAACACCGCAAAGATGCAGGGTGTTTATCTGTCCGGCTGTGGAAGCAGACAGTATTATTTTGCAATTCCTGTAGAAAGACTGTGCTGGAAACGCCCGGGTTCAGGCGCGGGCTGCTCCGTGTAGCTGGGTCTGGCCGGTGCTTGTAGCAGTGACACTGGGCTGCAGCCCTGGTCGCTGGGGGCAGCTGCACCCCTGCCTGCGTCCCAGATTAACCTTGAGGAGAGAAGCTAGAGACAGCTAAACCCAAAAGGCCTGCTGCAAGCAAGCAAAGAGAAGCAGGAACCTGAGCTGGGCGAGCAGGAAGGTTTTACAGGATCGAGCGGTACTGCCACTAGCCTTTGGGGAGGTTTTTGTCCCTGACCCAGCCCTCACACCTTTCACCCCACTCCAAGGGCCTCCTAGGAAGCATCTCGCCAAAATGAGTCACGGCTCTGGCTGTGTAGTGTCAGCTCTGAAGCTCTGTCTGCTCTCTGCTTCACTGCTGCCCTTGATAGCTGGGACGTCACCTTCAGCTAAAAAAACCCGGGTGCTCTGCCCGTCGGTTTAGGGCCGCTCAGCCCAGCTGGGACTCAGGCGCGTTTGTCCCTGGGCGCAGCGTGCTGGTAGCTCGCTTGTTCTCAGCAGAGCAGGCTGGTGAAGGGAGCGGTGCTTCACATTGCTTGAAGGTAAGCGTGCGTCTAAGCCTTTGACAGGATCGACACCTTTTTGTGGCACGGTTTGCGCCGTGAAGACGGGCAGGTTGCTGAAAGATGTCTAAATCTCACGAGGAGTTACGTGACAGTCCTCTGTGTGGGATCAGGGTGGAAGAGCGGGGGGAAAGCTGCATGACTGAGCAGTATCTGGGGTGTGCTGGGTCTGTGAGACTGAAGGACTTTGACTTGCAATCCTGCCAGCACTTCCAATTTCAAGTTAGAAGGCAATTAATTTTTTAAAATCATGTCTTTAAAGTTAATGTGATAGGAAAAGTTGGGATATGCAATTTATGCGGAAAAAAGTTATGCTTTGTCAGTGTGACTGATTTTTTTTGAGGAGGAGGATGATGCACAGACAATTAAATTCTTGCTGCTTCTGTACCCAGATGCAACCACATCAATCCAGTCTTTACTCTTTGAGTCACATAAAGTTATCTTAGGTTTCTGAAGAGTGTTTCCCAGAGTCCTTACTGAGTGTTTTGTTTTTCAGCTATAACCATGGAGAACCTGCATAATGCCAACAGCAGATTTGCACTTGATCTGCTCAGAAGGTTTAATGAGACCAATCCAACAGGGAATGTTTTCTTTTCTCCTGTCAGTGTCTCTGCTGCTCTGGCGATGGTCCTTTTAGGGGCCAAAGGTAATACAGAGGCACAGGTGCTGAAGGTTAGTTAAAAAAAAAAAAAATCGCTTTATATTTTATTTACATTTAAAATTGTTGTGGTTTAGAGCAGGGAAAATGAAAAGACTGTATTATTTTTATGCGCCCAGAAGATTTGTCATGCACACTGAGTCTTCCTTGGGCTCCTTTCTGCAGTTACCTTCTGCCTCCTCTGCTCCGGAGTCCTCTTTCCATATTTGCTGTGGCCCTTATTTCTCATTTAATTTCACTTGTTAATTCTTGAAGTAGGAAACTGATTTCATTACTTAGTAAGTCGCCATTTGAATTGACTAGAGTTTCCAGCAGCAAGGCCTTTTTAGTTTTCATGAGACATTTTGACAACCAAATGCTGCTTTGTAATACAAGGTCACCAGTGGTATGCTTATTGCTAATAATATTGTGTATTTTGTAAGAAACACAATAGTCCTATGTAGTTTTATATTTAAAGTGTAACAGCTATGATGATGCTACCAAAGTATCAGTATCTTAGTAACAGCTAGGCACTTGGATATCTCAGAGGAGCTGAGCTCACATGCTTATTCTTACCATAGCCTTCGGTTAGGTAGGATAGTTTAAGAAATGTCATTATAAATTGCAGAAAAGGTGTACATAGGAGTGTGCCAGTTTCCCCTGAAGCTTCCTGCATGAAAAGGACTCAGTTATAATTTTTTTTCCCCTTTGTTAGGCCAACGCCTGCTAGTGCAAAAGGGCGTATGACACTTCTCATTGCAGTCATCATCATGTGTTTGCCTATGAATAATTTCACCTTTGTATTCTGGACTTTAGGAGGAACTGTTTTATACTGTGGAGTGGTGCTCTGCTTACTGAATCAGACAATAACATTATTTTCTCACTACTTGTACAAACAGACTTTGAATGTATTTCATGTAATCAAACTGACAGCCCCGCCTAGGATAAACCTACTGATAGCAAGACTCATGCAAAAGGAACTTGGGGGAATAAAAAAGCGTGTTTCCACACAGTCA